AATACAGACGAAGAACAACCACACTGGGCTTATTTTTTATTTATTTATTTTTTTTTTGCATTGACCGACAACGAAGTGGAACTGTTACTGAAAGGGAGGCGGCGGCGGAAAACAGACTGGGAGTTGTCGCAAAGTAAATACAGCGACATGCACAGTAGGCTAGGCTAACTGTTAAGATATTTACACAGTACATATCTTTTAATAAAAATACCCAAATTAAAACTCTGTAAGTAGCATCGTGTTTTTGCTTTGCATGACTGATAAGACCGACTCACAAAGCCAAATGCGAGTGTGTGTCATCATTTTATAAAGTCCCCTAAAGTTTTGTCCAACGGGTCAGCAGCGTTTTCAAACAAACATCTTCTGATTCACCGTTTTAATCTGGACGGGAGGCAGAAACGTAGCAAAAGGTCTCCGTTTTGTAACGAAAACACAGAGAGAGGGGCAGTCAGCTGATTGAGTGGCGCCTCTCTTTGCATCATGAAACTCACACTGAAGGATCAGTCTCTCTCTGCCTGATGCGCTGAGTGTCTGAGACAATTAAACTGTGTGTGTGAGAGAGAGATGAGCACAGCCGCGTCAGTTTCACATGATCGCTCCTGCGTGTTGCTACATTTGTCCTATTGCTGCTCAACTCTAATTGTAAATGATTACCATGGCGCATTAATCCCTTCTTGTCTGAGAAGGACTTCGGTGCTAGCTTTGAAAACCGCTCAGGCCATGCAGTGAAACAAACTGCCTTTGAAAAATTTATCTGGCGAGTATTACATCAACTGATCAACTTTTCTTAATGGCCTTTATAGCGACCACCGATCAAACTAGTTAAAGCCCTTATCAATCGATCACGATCGGTGATCGATCAGAGCACCCTTAAAAAACAAGGTCAGAAGCATTTTCAGACATCTCCTTATAGGTCTTCGTTTTGTCTGGAGGGGAGGTGCAAACGTAGCAAAAGGTCTCCATACACAACCATACACACTTGATTTCCTATGCGGTCTTACAAGATTATTCTGATGCAGCAGAATGATCCCCCCCCCCCCCCCATCCAATAAAATGCTTTTTTTAAATTAAACTGGCCTAACTAAAATGTATGTACATCATCATAAAATGTTATGACTGTGTAATGAGAACTGTATTCAGATGGCTGTACTCCTCTGCATCCTGAGTGCTGTCCTTGCTCTCCTTCTCGCTGCTCTACAGCCTCAGACTCTTAATTGGCTTCCCTGCAACCATTGTCTCCCTGCGTGTACCATTCCAGGGTTTTTTTCCTCCGTTTTCTGTTTTCAGCTGTAATTTGGCCCCTTCTGTGTTTTCATAAAGAGCCTATATAGGTATAATTGTAGTGTTGCCTTCCTGTTGTGTGGCTAGCTGAGGACTCGCAGGAGGGTCTGCAGGGCTTTGGTTTGGTTCAGGCTGAGCTGGCTGGGGTGTGGGCCATGTCAGGCCTAGCCTTTCCCAGCAGTTGGTCTCATTTTGTCTTTATCGTCATTTCTTTGTTCCTGTCTGGACTTTGAATGCAGGGTGTGTTGCCCGTGCCTTACCTTGCTTTAGAGTCACGTTTCACAGTGGTTCACCATTCTTTCTCCTTACCTCGTGTGGATTTATTGCATTGTGACTTCTAGACTGGGGAACATTGTGCTTGATATTTTTTTTTCCTTCTGGAAACGCCATCATTACATTATGTACATGGGGTGTGTGTGTGGCATGTGGGCAGGAGCATTGTGGAAACACGAAAACTGTCACCTGTTGCCTTACTCAACCTTTTTCACCTCTCTTTAAAGGTTTAAAGCGTGCACATGCATACACACTTACTCTTGGTAATTAATTAGATCCCTGGAGCTAGAGTGGAGAGCGAGTTGTCTCCGCTGCCCGTGTGTGTGCGTGCTCGTCTGTGTGTTCAGGAAGAGCACGACCAAAAGCGATGCATACCAGATGTTTTAGAAATGAGGTGGGTTTCACTGGAACGTAACACATTCCCAGGGATGTTTGCGGAAAGAAATTCTTCCTCATCTGTCAAGCATGTTATGCCCCCCCCCCCTTTCACCCTCTGTACTTTTTTTTTAATGGGGCTCTTGATGGGGTTCCTTTCCTTGTGCATCTGTAAGCACCATTCAGATGTAGGGGGGTGTGTGTGTGTGTGTGTGTGTGTGTTTGACGCTGGTGATTTGTGTATTTAATTTTCCCTTTGTTTACCGGTGGGCAAAATTGTTTCAGCTCAGACAGACACTTAAGTGGTTCGGGGTGATATTTGAGATGGGGTGAGTGTGTGTGTGTCTGAGGATGTGCGGCATGGGATGGAGGGACAGATGAACTGGCAGTGACTGCATGTTGAATGGCTCAAGTTGCAGCCTGCCACAGTGGGCATGCCTTTGTCTATTTGTGTTAGCAAAGTAAAGTCTGAGCACGCTCACTTGCACATGAGGGGAAGGGGCAAGCTGGGTACGTGCACCTAGTGAGGGCTGCATCTCATTCACTCATTATTTTCTAATAAATCATAGAATTGTTTGATCTTTTAAATGTCAGAAAATGGTAAAAACCATTAGTACAAGTTGGTCAATCTACCAATTGCTTGTTTTGTCCCAAAAAGATGCAGTAAACTGTCACATTTGAGAAGCTGACTATTATTTTTCCTTCATTTGATTTAACTGATGAATTGACTAATCATTTAAAGCAACATTATGTAAGATGTGGGGTTTTTTGTGTGTGATTTGTTCCCCCTGCCTTCATAGCTGTAAAAGTGCATTTGTTATGTTATATTACAATATGATCAAAAATAGAAAGTAGATAGAAATATTTCTAACTACCGTAAAACTTTTGGGCTTTTATTTGCTAAAATCACTGAATCGACCCTGTCTTTATTTGGGACAGGCGTCCATATGGGACAGGCCTTTAATTCTTTTCGCACAAAACTGAAACAGTTTATTTATTTAACAGAATCATACTTATGTAAAAATTATGAAATATCAAATGCACATCATTCATTTGATCTAGCTCCGACAGACAACTTATTTGTAAGGATTCAGAACTTCGATAAATTTTTCTGAAAAGCTGACCCTTACAGACTAAAGGAATATAAATAATCAAGGAACGGACACATTCGGACTTAACGAGCGCTTCAAACTTAACATGAGTCAGCACTTTTTCCCTCCTTTTCCTCTCTTGTAGCTATATAGGTTACATCGGTAAATGTAGAAGAATTAGGCTTTGGGTCTTGTTGTTTCCGTTAAATGTGGTCTGTGGTATTGTGGAGAATCTAACCGATCTAACAATGTTCAGCATATCCATATTGATCATATTTTTAAACATTAATATTTGTATTAACGATCTAAGCAGCTTAGAAGCAGCTAAAATGGGCGATCCTGCGGGGTTTGAGAGGTTTTATACATCCAAAGAACTTCTATAAAAACCAGACCAGGCGTTAAATTGAGGCAGGCATTTATTTGTCAAAATGTGTTCCCAAACCAGGCCAGTAAAGGAGGTAGGCGGCTATTTGGGACTCGGCTATTAATTGAAGTTTTACGGTACTTCGACAGCAAGAATGCCAGCTCCCTGTCTGTTCTCCATCATTTCAGATCTTTTAGCTTATGACAACAAGTAAAAGCCAGTCCGATATTTACTCTTGTCCGGTCTCTTGCTCGCTCACACTCCTTTCGTGGTCCTCGCTTTCTCTGACGAGGACTTCTTCTGTCTTCGCAGCCTCTACCATGATATCCATACTGACAATACCGAGCTGGCTTCTTCCAACGAACTTACATTGTACATTCTAGACTTTTTGCTTGTTCTTAAAGCTAGCTTGCTGAAGAGTTTTGTTGGTGTCGTAAAGCATTAGCCTGCGATAGATGTCCTGCCCAGGATATCAGTGTTAGATAATTCCAAGCGCTCTGGGCCAGAGAGGCGATGATAGGGACGCCATTCCCCCTATTACAAGTCAGTGTACCATCAAAATTATTTTGAAGCTGTTATTTTAAGATACTACATAATATTGCTTAAAGCTCTTTAACCCGCCTGGAGCTGGACTAAACGTCAGATAGATGATGAAAAGTGTGAAATGGGCTCATATGGCAGCACAATGCCCTTTGCTACTGTCACCTTTAGACCAGTCTAATATTATATGATCAAACATGGACTGAGTGTCATGGGTAATATTGTGGCTTAGAACAGGGGTGTATCTTTTTACTCCCAAAATATAGTATTTAATACATAATAATTAAACAAAATATATGTGTATTTTAAACTAAATATAATCTTGAATATTATTAGAAACGGAATCAGTGTTGAATACAAAACTATGCTGGAACTGTTGTATGTTTTTATTTTCAATATACAGTCTCTTCAAACTTCAGTGAATCAACCACATCAATATCCAGACCAATTAGTGTCTGTTCCTCAGAACACTTTATCACAGAAATAAGCTAAGCCAGAACTGTATTTCCATGTGCCTGACTCATAGGCTGAAACTGTTACTCCAGACGCCCAGGAGGTGACTGAGCTTCCTCATCCATCAGGCTCTGGCTCATCACCTCAGCAACCTCCTCCATGGCTCTCAGAGTAGATCAACAGGATCAACCTATCTGCTGCAAACGGGCGGGTTTGGGAAGGAGAAAGAGAAACAAAACGTCCCCTCCTACAGAGTGACATGTTTCTATTTTGATGATACAATAACTGTTAATTGCTGTAAAGCTTCAACTTTAAACCTACAGCTAAGGAGTTGCTTACTTTGCTGTAGTTGACGGGCTGTCTTGATGCACATCGTAGGCACTGTGTGCTATTAAAATGCAATCTAATTGTTTGTAAGAGATGGTTTGTGTAACCTATGCCAAAGTTGTTCTCAGAGGGTTTTCCTGCTTGAATCCTAAACTAGACAGATTGTTTTCTGCTGCCTACCCATGCACATTCCTGCCACTTTTCTAGCAAACAAAACCCTGCTTTACTGTTCTTGACTTTAATGTTTATGTTAAATTAAAGCTCAACTCTTTCTTTCTTTTCTTTTTTTTTTTCAGTCCTCTGCGCCAAAAACCTGGTGAAAAAAGACTTCTTCCGTGAGTATCTGCCAATCATAGCCGTTTATGATAAACCTATATTTGCTTTTCAAACCCTGATTGGTTTTCTCTTTTGGTTTTGTGGTATATGGTGCATGCACTGTATGATGCGGGTCACTTTTGGCCTGATAAAGTGCCTGCTCTCAGCTGCTGCTAGCCTTCAACGACACACTGGGATCTACTTATTTATCCATTTCAACAGATGTGGATGGTTTACTACATATGTCCATTTAAGTAGGAGCGTGTTGTCCACGTAGTGCCCCATCGCTTTAAACTGTAAAACAACTGTAAAATACTTTATCTATAAATAAGTGTTTTTAAAAAGTCACAAAAATATAGTGAATATATTTCCATTTTGGGCAACGTTTCTGCAACTACTTTGCTTAAAATACCAAGTTCTTTTCCTCCACTAAAGACTTAATAACTCATGTGTAGGCGTCTTTAGTGTTGTGAGTGTTTTGCTGTGTTTGGGTCAGGCTGTCATGGTGAGTGAGCATGTTAAGGGCTTCTGCTCACTCAGGTGGTTTCTGTGGTGCCCGTTCCTGCCATTCCAACACTCAGGAGTTGAGCAAACATTCAGTCAGGGAGTTGGCTGAGAGCACCACCAAAACCGTAGATAAAAATGTCTGTGTGCTTCCCTAATTGTGAACTAACATGCGTGTCTGTTCTGCCGTTGTGTTGACATGTTTGCGTCAATTATTGTGCTTGCTTCAACCACATCTACGTTATTTGCAGGAAAATGTCACACACAGGTCCCACCTATCGGTTATAGACCTGCCACAAATAATTATTTGCATTATAAATTAATCTCTAGATGTATATCAAAAATGTTTCTAATAGTAAGCAAAGAAAATACCTTTAAACAATACTGCAGCTAGCAGATACCATGCGTTGCAACTAGCAGACATTTGGTATTTCTCCAGATAGATTACTTAAATAATGTCCAACCCAACACCAAAGATTTTTGTGTGACTAATAAATTAATCTGCTTATACATTCAGCGATGATAACATGGTGTAACACACAAGACCAGCTTAATTAATTGAGAGCAACAAATTCAATGCATCTTATTTGCGACTGTAGTTTTGTCACCAAAGGACCTCCCATTTTTTTTTTAAATCAAAATGCACCAAAAAACAATGTGCGGAAGTAAACAATGACTAATCTGTGACTAGTCTAGACTGGTCCCCTAGCAGAAAACTGTGCTCTAGACACCACAGCATCTGTGTCAGTTGTTTATCACCATCTGTAGCGAGCTAACACCACTGTGTAATGTTGTTATTTGTCTTGTTAAATTGTTTGTTATCTGTTATTTATTCTTGGTGAATATGGCTGAAGCTGAGTGTGGCTGCGGCGTGTTTTCCTCTCTCCCTGCAGGCCTACCTGATCCCTTTGCCAAGGTTGTTGTGGATGGTTCAGGGCAATGCCACTCCACAGACACTGTGAGGAACACACTTGACCCCAAGTGGAATCAACACTATGACCTGTGAGTCCCAGAGACTTTGACACTTCTCACTGACCGCTGTTTTCAAAGACAAAAAAAAAAAATCAGATTCCATGTATGTTTATTTGAATACCCCCCACCTTCCTGAAGACTTAATCTAAACACAAACAGCAGTTTGAGGCCCTGCTTGGGCTATTACAATGCCTCACAATTTTTATGTCTGTCTTTTTTTTAACCCCAATAAGTGAGCATACAGAGCGTGTCAGACTGTGTCATTAACAGGGCCTAAACTGTAACAGATGTAAACAGCTCTTGCATCTGGTCTCTCACTTATCTAGATATTCTGTAATGACATAACCCTTCAGTTTCAGCAAAGAGTCTAAAAATGTCCCTTGGAGTGGTATTTAAAGAAACCGAAAAGGAGAGGCATCTCCAGTAGTATTTTCTTCCATTGACTGAAACACGTGCATGTCTTGTTGTATCCTGATTGCCTTTCCCAAAGATGGTTTGTGCCGCAAAAGTAACCTGGAAAAAAAATGGAGACAGAGCGCGTGAGTGAAAATGTGAGAGTGAAAGTTTCCAGTATTTGCCCCGGTGTTTATCCAACCGTCATGCAAAGCCAACAGCGAGAGGAAGCACATGTCTCCGTTTGTTTGGTTGCTGGGGATACAGGACCCTCTCTCTACATGGCTGTTAAATTAGCTGCTCATGTCACATTTGACAAGAGGGGGAAAAAGTCACGCGCATGCACCTGTAACGATGGATGGATGGGAGAGGAGAACACAAACTCGTGGAGCTTCTCTGCACTAATTTGTCCCAAGAGCCTGCAGACGTAGCAGACTGGAGTTTATGTGAAGATTCCTTCCGTTTCTGTGCCAGTGATAAGTTCAGCAACAGTGTACTGCCTTTACTGTCAGTCAGTGTTTATCCTCATGGCTAGCAGACGGACTCTCAGGTGGTGTGTTGCAGGAGAGGGGTTTTAATTGATTGAGAGCAGCCTAGAAAGCCTTCTGGCTGGCTCTCGCTTATTAAAATAGGACCTGCAACACCTGGCGTTCTGAACACAGCCTAGTGCGTTAAAGCTGTTGGCAGTGACTCTTTTTTTCCATTTGTTATAATGTGCTCATGTGAGGGAGTAGAAATCCTGTGTGTGCATACAGGGCCCTGGTTTTGTTGGTCAGCCACAGCCAGCAAACTGGCCCATGAACTGTGACCCTTCAGCATTGTTGCAGGATGTGGCCTGCATGCCAAGGATAGCAGACAGTCTGTCTGGCTGCGTGCCTCTCACACTCAGTCTGCCTGCACCACGTTTGTAAAACAGACAACCACTACTACAGGATATGGTTGAAATTAAGGAAACACTAACAAAACAACCACTCAAATTATAAAGGACAAGGACACAGTGATTATTAGTAATAAATATATAAAGATGTACTTCATCGTCATAGTCAGTGTCATGAAGTGTTTTTGGAGTGTCCCTCCAGTGTGCACTCAACTTGGTTAATTAGAAGTTCTTCAAATATGGCATAGTTAAATAATATAAGTGCCCAGTCTAGACTCAAATGATTTACGCCCACCCATCCATCCATCTTTCATCCCACCATCCAACTTGAATTTGTATAGAAGCACCCAGTTAAATAGGCACCACCATCAATGGCTTTCTTAGATCTTTAGTAGTATTACCATGTAGCATAATTGGGGCTGAACAAAAGGAAAAGAAATAAGTGCTACGATGCAGTAGTGTTTTTTGCCAGCTGAAAACGCCACCTGCTGTTCTGAAAACGCCAAGCTGGGAGTGCTAGGGTGCGTTTTGGAGGCGCAGTGTTTTTTGTTTTATTTCGAGACGTTGTGGTTGCTATAAGTAGGTTAGCCTACTTAATTTTAGTGAATGTAAAAATGTCACCACAAAGTACGCAGGCCTACTTGCTCAGCACCTCGTGACGCATCTGGCGTTTTTACCAGCTTGAAAAAACGCGGCGCTCCCATTGCAATGAATTGGAAAAAGACGCTGGCGTCAGAAAAAAACCGCTTTGGTGGACACGGGCCCTTACAGATTCATCTGATATGTTTATCAGAGGAATTCTGTTAAATCTGTCAAACTTTATATTTTAATGCCTGTTTCATTTCACTTTAAAACGCAACTGCTTCCCCTTGGAGAACCAGAAGCTGCTTGGTTCAACCATTTATCCATCGCTTTTAGACTTCTGCGCCTGCTTGCTAACTAGTTTTCACATAGTCTCTATTGCAACATGTAGTGTTCAGGTGTTACAGCTGACGTGTGTGTGTGTGTGTGTGTGTGTGTGTGTTTTTGTCATTTTTATTTTAATCAAATTAGTAAAGCTACTCTGAGATCTTTTCATGTACCTCTTGGTTAGTGCAGGAGTACCAGAGGTTATGAATCACTGTTCTGCAGTTAAGTGGGTTTTTTTTGTTTGTTTTTTACAGGAAACCTATTTAGCTGTTCAGTAGTGTCTATGTATTAAAAAGGTCTGTCAATCAGTTTGAGAATATCAGCATGTTCCAGTCCAAGCTGTGAATGTTAGTAGTGGGCCTTCCCTTTTGTGTCTGTTTGTATCTTGGACTGTGTAGTCACAGTCCAAGATACAAACAGACACAAAAGCTGTTGCTGTACTGTAAGGGTTTTCTTTTAGTTTGACCATATGTTCTTGGCAGTAACTTGCAGGAAAAAGCTACTAAAAACAGTGCAGAAGATGTCTCTTGTATGAGTCTGCCAAATAAAAGGATGTATTTAGAAAGCACATCTGACTCTTTAAATCTGCTCTTTTATTGCAATTTTCCCATTGTGTCTCTCTGTGTGTGTGTGTGTGTGTGTGTGTGTGTTGCCTATGACTGGTATTAAAAATCTTAGCCAGACTAATGAATTTTATTACATGGACTGTGATCCAGATGAGGGTTTGGTTGTAATACTTCCCTCCCGTCACGTCTGTCTGACATCGCAGCTCTCTCACATCGCACCCCAGACAGGCATTTGGCATTGGCTCAAAATGTCCAGACATCTTACTCACAGCCCCATTGTTTCATATCCCTTTTGGTAAGCAGCATGATAATTACAGTGGGATGCAGTTCTGCAAATCGTACAGATGATTAGTTTTAGGATGAAGGAGGGGAGCCCACGCGAGCCGCTGTGCCATGACTGGTTCACATGGAGGGGTTTTATCACACCCTCGGCCGACACATGAGGAGCACCACGAATGCGCTGGAGGGAAAGGAAATAATCAGTTTCATCTGTTTCTTATTCTTTACACATCTTTGGCTGTGTGTATACAATATAATTACCTGACCATGTTCTTTACTTGTATAGCAGGCAAATATTTATTTCCTTTAATATTGGTTTTTGCCATGCTAGTTGCATAGCTCAAGGGATGACACTGACATGAACCTTCTGCTCAAAGCACCACTCGGCCTTAGAACAGCCACACAGAGCCGCTAGCGTGGATGTAGACTCGTAGTCATGTGTGTTATCTTTTGTTCTGTAATAATTGATTCAGTTCCACCTCTAACTATGTGATGATGATCTTTATCTCCACATTAGTGGCATCACATCGCTCTCTCACGCCAAGCAACTTATTAACAACTTCTTCAGTTAAAGAGTAGGGGGTCCTACTCTTTGCAGAATGTCCCAATGTGTTTACTTTCGTTTATGAACCTCTCCTAAACATCTCATTAGCTGATTCAAAAATAGTTTACTTGGAGGCAAACAACCCTTGAATTATATAACTAATGTAACTACTCTCCACATTTGACAGCATGATTGATGACCGTTTATATCCAATTACATTTTCAATTAAGCTGGTCATTCAGATTTTTCATATAAAACCAAAAGGGGCTAATTTTAAAAAATACATTTTGTATAAACTTTTACTACAGTGACAGATTCTCACAGTATTTTCACATTCGCAGCATCTTTGTTGCTGCTCATCGCGTCACTGTAGTTAAAAATGTATGTCATCCCTCTGTGGCATCTCTCCTCCGTCAGTCCTCCGTCTCCCTCCCCCGGATATGTGGGGAGGTGGTGCTGTGAATATTATAAATGATTCACAGTCTGCTTGTGGTGCTCTGTCTCATACTCAGACGCTCAGGGTCAGATTTACACATACACTGGCTGAAAAATATGTCTGTCACCCCACCTTCCTCTTTCGCATCCCGACTGTGTCTTGTAATGTGTCCTTGACACTGCGACTTAGCGGTAGCCTCTGTAGCAGATATGTGTCTCCCCTGCATTGCTGGGGACATCCTGACTGAGCCTCTTGTCAGCACATTAGCTGTTACATGTGGACATTACCAGTGCCTCTCTAATAAGTGATTCTCACTGCATCTATGAGAGAGCATTTCGCTATTGAATAACTCCTCCTTCATTCTTTGCCCTCAGGTACATCGGAAAATCTGATTCGATCACCATCAGTGTGTGGAATCACAAGAAGATTCACAAGAAGCAAGGGGCTGGGTTCCTGGGCTGTGTCCGCCTTCTGTCCAACGCGATCAACCGCCTTAAAGACACAGGCTGTAAGTGTCCGTGTTACTCCAATGTAACAACCTGTCAATGGTGTCTTCTTATATGTTGACATTTCTGAACTGTATTGGGACTCTGTGGCTCTGTCTGGTCACTAGTGAAGGGAGCCATGTTGCATATTAAAGGTGTCCTGTGTGCCCGTTTTGTTTGTATGGAGCGCCCAAGAAACACTGTTGTCGCCACTGTCACGCTATTCCGCTGATTAGCCATTGCCAATGGTAACATGCAAAGAAGTTGATGTCCAGAATTTTTATTATTTCCAGATTCTTCTTTGTTGTTGTTCTGAAAATGAAATTATTCTACAGTTGCAGCACAGATTTTGCTGCAAAACTACACATCATCTTTTACTTTTGTGACCTATTTATTAGTTGTTTAGTTAGCTCAGGTGGGTTAATTTCTGTTATTCATGAGATGTCCGTCATCTGATTGCCACAGCCATCATGGTAAAATAAGGCCGTATTCATCAAGCCAGTCTTACACCTGTAGTGTGATTAAAAAGCAGAAGTTAATAACACTGCTGCTGTCGGGGCTAAATGACAGAATATAGAGTAGCTCCTTTTAGTGTCCCGTCTCCCTCACTAGATCTGACAGAGGCCAGACCTGTGTGTGAGAGGGGTCAGCACTCTGCCCCCTGCCAGAACAGGATGAGCCAATCAGCATCACCCTGCAATTACTGTAAAAATGTCCCATGTCAGAGGCTAACTGGATAAGAGAGATGGAGGCTTTAGTAAATGGCTCCTAGTAAAAGCAGTGCCAGACAGTTGTAGCATCAACAAAGCGGCCTGGAGTGATTTTATTTTATTTTTTTCCTGCGTTGGGGAGGTGGTACCAGCTCCCCCGGTCCTGCAGCCTTGTAGGCAGAAACGGGAAAGAATCCCACTGCTTTCCCTAGAAGCCCCTGACACTGTTGTTTTCCTGGAGCGACACAGGAAACCTGAACCTTGTGCCACAGCTGTGAGTGGTTTGCCTCCACATTTCCTTTCTCTCCTGGCCTCCTCCTCACCCCTGAGTTTCCCCTTCAGTCTCCTGCATAGACTGGCAGCATGTGCACACACGCACACACAAAATGCCATTGTGACTAACCTCCCTCTATCTTCGTCTGCCGATCTAGACAACCGGTCATTTCACACAGACATGCATAATTGTACAGCTATTTAAGTGTAAGCGTAGATTTGTTGTGTTCCCTCTGTTGTGGTCTCTCTCTCCCCCCTGTGAGTGTTTGTCATTCTTTTGTTGCTTTTGTATGGAATTTACCAGCAGTTGCAGTTTTGTCCCCTCCACAGACCTTAGAGAGGGCATCGAGTTGACTACAACATTTGTGTATAATTGTAGAGTGTCTGGAGTTGACTGTAACGTTTCTGTATAATTGCAGAGTGTCTGTGTTTCTTGTCTTTTTGTATATGACGCGTATATATTTAAATGTATGTACTTGTGAGTGCACTTCTCTGCATACATTTGTGTGTGTGTGTGTGTGTGTGTGTGTGTGTGTTTTCTGTTTTCTCTGTGGCTGCTGACCTCCGGCCAGCCCTGTAACGGTCTGACCATTGCCTGTTTTGGTCCCTGTTTAGTCTAGACAGACATCCTGAACTGATCTGCATGACACCCAGACAACAGAGAGAAGATAGTGGCATTTCTCATGTCTGCAGGCAACTTGGACATTTTTTTTGTCTGCCTTTTTTTTCCGCCTGATCTTTTTCTTTTTCCCTCACTCTCAAATTCCGCAGACTTTAAGAAGTTCAGACAAAGAGTTTCCAGACTTTGGCAGAAGTTCATGTCCATGCTAAGACGGAGTGGAATAGTGCAGGCTTTGTACTGAAATTTGTCAAATGTTTGACCTCTACATTTGAACTGAAGCCTGCTCTATACCGATGCTCAGTGAGATTTTTACAGCCTGTGGCTGTTCCACAGACCAGACCATCTGTTCCAGGGCACAGCCAAGCTGTGGTCTACAGACAGAAGAATGAGAGACGGATAATGAGGGACAGAGGAATTGACTCTGAGTGATGTAAATGATACAGAGCAAAGGGACTTGTCCAAGGAGGGGAAAAATGCATCCCAACACATGCTAGTTTACATGCATCTCGCTGACACTGATTAATCTTCCCTTGTCACTTTCCCTCTTCCCTTTTCTCTCTTTCCTCCTGTTTCTTTCATCTCCATTCTCTTTTCCTGTTTGTCTTGTGGTGTTCACTCGCTTGCTTCTCTTCTATCTGTCCTCTCTCCACAGACCAGAGACTAGACTTGAACAAGCTGAGTCCCAATGACAGTGACACAGTCAGGGGCCAGATAGTGGGTGAGTACAGATGGACACGCAAACGATGATGCATTTGGTAGCACAAACAGATTTGGGGAAGATGGGTACTTTTTAATTAGAAAGTAAATGGGGGGGAAAAAACTTACTCAAATAAATACTTAAAACTTATAATCTATCTGCGGTGTGTTCCACTGACTGTATTCTTCACCTGATGTATAGCATGCTGTCTGTCATTCACTGTGTGTTGAATATACAAGGAGGGAAGTATACAGCAGAAGGCAAAAATGTTAAAAGCAAGTAATTTCAGTATTTTCCTTAAAATGACCTCATCATGTTTTTATTATTTACTTTGACAGTTCCTGTTGATGCATTATATTTATTTACACTCTCTCTCACTATAGGTCAAAAATAGTCTTGAGGATATTCTTTAATGCTATTATAAACATATACATGTGAAATATTTTCAGCTCTAGTCTGCCAAATGTTGCCCATTCTCTGTCACATTTATCACAGTCTTCATATAAAATGTAGGATTAGATTTCATAACACCAGACCCTTCCTGCAGGAGGAAAAAAAAACTTTCTTCAACCAGACCCTCCAGGATAGCACTGATAAAATGTAACCCTATTCCTGTTACTCATAAAGATATATAGCTGTATTTTGTGCTTCGATAAAATATATTTGCCTGCACTGTAATCTGCTGTCTAGTAATCCTAGCGTGTGCATCTGTTTGCCATGTGTTGCTGCAGTGAGCCTGCAGTCTAGGGACCGGATAGGCACAGGAGGCCCTGTGGTGGATTGCAGTCGGCTGTTTGACAATGATCTTCCAGATGGGTGAGTGAGTTTGGGGAAATCTCTTATCATCTCAGAAGGAGCTTTTTGAGATGCCGTTGCAAATCCTAAACAATAAATGCTGCCTTGGAGTACAGGAGTAAGACTATGCGAATATGATATTTGCATGTGGTGAGACTTGGGGGGGGGGACACAACACTGCTAGGTGGTTTTGTGGCTGCTTAACCATGTCCACTGAACACTGTATGTTTCTGCTGCCAGCTGGGAGGAGAGGAGGACGGCAACTGGACGAATCCAGTACCTGAACCATATCACACGCACCACACAGTGGGAGAGGCCTACCAGGTGAGTACACTGCAGCCCACAGAAACTAGAACCCAGACGTCTTAAATCAAACAGCAGCAGGCTGATGGAAGACCTCGTCTCTGACCTCAGTGCTCCCAAACGGGGGAAGTGGGGCTTCTCAAAAAAAAAAAGGTGTCTGCTCCAGACAGTGGTGTTTAATGATGTGGAAGAGCCAGGGAAGTCACAGAGCCAACATGAGCGGGAACAGAGGCATCTCTTCCCAGCTTAGTCTCTGTTTGTTGTGCTAGTGAGCTGCCTTGAATAGATTTTGTAGTTAGCATCTGAAGATTTCCTAAAAGCTGCCTATAGATCTGTTTGTGTTAGTAGAAATGACTTCCTCCTTTTCAGTCCCCCTATATTGTCTCTTTCTTTCTCAAACGGATTCACCCATTACCTTAGCTTTTCTTCTTGGTCTTCTGTGTGGTTCCTCTCAGGCCTGCATCAGAGTACTCCAGCCCTGGCCGGCCTCTCAGCTGTATTGTGGATGAGAACACGCCCATCAGCACAAACGGGGCCACGCCCACCACAGCATTGCCGCCTAGTGGCAGTGACCAGCGGGCCCAGGAGAGAAGGGTCCGCTCCCAGAGGCACCGCAACTACATGAGTAGAACCCACCTGCACACGCCCCCAGACCTCCCTGAGGGCTATGGTTAGTGGGAAGCCAGCGCCATAGAGTGGACTTGTATATAGTATCCTCTGTGTGTATGTATGAGTAAATATTTATCGTCTAGCCTTATTGCTCAGCCTTCATTAAAATAATTACAATTGTACAAGGCTAGATTAGTGTATGTACCTACTGGATCTGGATTGAGAGGGAACTTTACATTTAGATTATCCCCAATAACCTCACATCCACTTGAAGAAACACTCTACCAGTGATTGATACAGTGATGGTGTCGATGAAGGGGCACTTGAGTTCATCTCTCAGAGCTGTGGGGGCGCATCTGACAAAAATGTTGGAAACCACTTCACTATACCATCAATACTCAGCTTTGACCAGCTTTTCTATCTACCGGTAAATATTAATATTCTTGTTGCACTAGAGTTTTAAAATCCTGTGTGAAAGCCATCTCTACTTCCACTGTGAACTGTGTCGTCGTTGTAATGCTGTTGTGTTAGTTGCTTCGCCTCTGCCCTCCTCCCTGCTCAACACTGGGCTCAGTTACCCAGCTAATCTGTAGCCTCATTCAGTCCAGCGGCGCTCTGGTGCTGCTGCAGCTCCACACAAGGAGCCTGAAGTACTGGCTCCATTTTAGACAATCTATTTGAATTGATCTAGCTGTTAAAGGCTGGCTTGACTCCCCTTCTCTGTTCTCCTTTCAAAGTCAAATAATCAGACACATTCATATAAAAGCACGCACAAGCACACATACACGCACAAGCACACATACACGCACACACACAAGCTGTGATCCCCCACATAGCCCAAGGGAGTTTTGTTTATCCTAACAGTAAAATATTCTGTAATATATGGGAACCAGAACTATAAGCATATACAGCTTTGCTCTCAGTCCTTCAGATTATGAGGCTTGTAGCTACGCTTGTCTCTCTATTCCTGGCGCTCTCAATATCTTTGTCCATAATTTCTTAGTTCTTGGGCAGTCCCCATAAAATCTGTCAGCACCTCTGATTCTCCTCATGTGTTTCTACAATCACACTAGCCAAGAGATGTCACCTTATGTGTCGGACGTATATCGTGCAGTGATCAGATGGGCATGTGTTCGGAAGGTCTGGTGTACATGCATGTAAAAGCAGGGGATAAGTCCAAAGGGGTGCCAGAGAAGAGCTCTCTGGCAAGCCGCTCCATGGAAATATCTGTCAGGGTGTGATGAATGAGTACACCAACTCAAAAGTCAGACAACCCCATCTCTCCTCTCCCTTCCTCTCCAATGTTCTTCACCCTGTCTCTCACCTCCCCTCCTCCCTCTTCTGCCTCTTCCCGGCTACCTTTGGGAACTCCACTGAATCAGGCAGTCCTTTATCTCCATCTGTGTGATATCTCTCTTACACAGTCAGTCAGATTATAAGCACAATCTGTCTGCATGTGGCACATGAATTAAACTCTATTTAATTTTGCATGCGTTTTGAACATTTGACATACACTTGATGCCAAGGTTGAGGGATAATCTTCTAGTTCCTCCTCTTTTGTAATGTGATTCATGTCATTGTGTAACCGAGGATCTCCAAATCTTGCATCGATTAATCCCGTTTTTATGTCTTCCTACAGAGCAGAGGACCACGCAGCAAGGCCAAGTGTACTTTCTTCACACGCAGACAGGTGTCAGCACGTGGCATGACCCCAGAGTACCAAGGTAAGTCGGCCACAGGATCTGTGACTTCAGGGAGACAACACAACATTATAATGTTCTCTTTTATCACTTAGTGTTGTTTTGCTTTTTTACTATCCACCACACATACTGTAAAATGTATAAAACACAAGAATAATCAAACACATAAATGAGAAATTACCGTCCGCAGATGTCTGCAGTCCTTTCTGAATTTACTGACATTACTGCCATTACCCATATCCTGTGTCATGGCAGTCTCTTAGTCCTTGTCTCCTTGTAGTTTGCTGTAAACCTGCAGCTGATTATGAGTCTGACATGCTGTGAGAATACCCATGTCACGGAGCTCTGAGAGCGATATGGTCCTGTGGCACGAGCGTTGAAAGGCCTCACTCTGGGACACATGGCCATCAGCACACAGGCCTCAATCAGCCATACCAGGGGCTCTTGGGCAATATTCAGTCAGGCATGTGTGACCTACTGATTATCATATTCCAAAAGAAGTGCACACGCACACAGATCTGCATGTGCAAAGACAGGCTTCAGTGCGCTCCAGACACTATCAATAAAACATGACTGATGTTATAATACCTGGCCACTGCTCACATGCATTCTCAGTGTATGAGTGATAGATGATATTTTTATTGCTCTTGATAGGAGGCTATTGGTCACGCCACACCTCACTGGGCGCTCCTCAGACAGTTCCAACATTAGCAGATGGCTTAGCTGCCAAGTTCTCATCGCTCTTGAGGCTCTGGTCCCTTTTTGGCTTAAATCCTGCAAAAGTCCGCGCCAGCATCGAGAGCCTGCTGTAATTTTTGAACCTTTTTGTCTCCATGGAGTCCAGCTGAAAGGGGTTGCAGGGCAGCAGTAAATAATTTAGATGGGAGTAAGAAGAAAAATAGAATAAAAGCGATTTCTCAGACATCTCGGAATCTTGGTGTCCGCCTGAGTCCAGTTAGTCAGTGCTTTGGTATGTTTTATACCTAAAATGGTGTGTGTGTGTGTGTGTGTGTGTTCTTTGCCTCTCTTTTCCCCTGTCTCCCACCCTGTGTTGCCTCTATTTTTCTTAAATTCTCAAATGCTTCATTGGGCTCTACTGTTGCATTTCAGAGATCTGAGTAATGTGAACTGTGAGGAACTGGGTCCTCTACCGCCTGGATGGGAGATACGGAACACTGCCACTGGGAGGGTTTACTTTGTCGACCACAATAACCGAACCACGCAGTTTACTGACCCACGCCTCTCGGCCAACCTGCATCTAGTCCTAAAGTGAGTACTACAGTACCCTTGAGCCAGAAAAATCTAGTAGTGAAATAAATTAGGCAGTACATGAAGAAGAAGAGAGAGAGAGAAAAAAAAAAACAGTGTATAAAAGCAGAGCGATTTATTTTCTTTCTTTGTTTTGCTTCTGTAGTCCAAGCCCCAACGGTTCTCGAGGAGGCATCGAAAGTCAGAATGTCAGGTAAGGTTTGGGAATCACGCCAGCAGTCCTCACTGCACACAGACGGGAACACACACAAGCGCACACTCCCCCAGACATTCAGACTTACTCACTTTGCCTCCCCTTCACTCAGTGTTTTACAGTGGGATCCTGTGCCAAGGTGTGTTCACCACCTGTAGAGGTTCAGCGCTCAGAGTGGCCCTTCTGCTGAGCAGACGTTTGTGTGCACACACGCAGAAATACATGCCCATTGCTCTCCCCCACAGCCTGTCGTTCCACAAAAAATTTGTCAAATTCCTCAGGCCCGCAGAGGTTTTGATCATAAAGGCGTTTTAGCACACAATCCGTCACAAAGCTGGCTTTGGCCAGACATCAGATAGCTGAGTGGAAACCAAGGCGGCTGTGTCTGTGGCTGAGGAACGTCTTACGTCCAGGAAACGGAGCATAAATTTGATGCCCAAGTCCATGAATGAGCTGTGTGTGCATGTGTTTGTCCTTCTGCATAAGTTCATGTGTGTTGATTCATGCTTAAGTGCACAGTACATGCCTGCGTGCATGGGTGCAAGTGTTCAGGATTTCTTCCCCTGCGCAGCTGTTCAAACACATAGTGTGCAGTGATAGCCATAGAATTACCCATAGGTCCTTGCTCCACAAAGATGGAGCAGCGAGTGGGTGCCTTGGTGGGCCTCCTCCGCCTGATCTCATTCCTTCTCCATGCAGAGAGAGATGGAATGCATCGACGGAGAGATCGGGTTTCTTTTTTTCCTGTTTGGATGGATCAAAGAACGTGTTTGGGATTTTGTATTCGTTTTTGTGTTTTTTCATCTATGGCCCTCTGAAAAGTCTTAAAAAAAGTGTAGCCTGGAAAACCACAATTGTTTTTCTTGTAGAAATTTTTTCATGAGCATGACTGGCATGTCACCGGAATAATTTTGTATAATTTTTTCACAGCTTGGCGTCTCTCTGTAGCTATTAGTGATGTGCAGTACACTTGCACATTTTTGATATTGTGAAGTGAAAAGTCAAGTGATATAAAGTGTAAGATTTCAGGGTGTATAGTGTCGTACAACTGGTTATTCAAGGGCACACGGACATTGGCCTAAGTTTCGTAAAGTAACTTCTTAAGTATGCATGACTAAGGATTAACCTTCAAATTACATTAACTCTGCAATAGGTGATCTATTGCCTTTTTGGTACAATTTCTGTCCTAACTGAAGCTGCTCTAGTACTGCAAATAGGATGGACTTTGGAGTGACTTTTTCGCTTGTGACAAATCTCTGGTAAAGTTATCAGTCATCATGGATTTCCATCAAGACACATCTGCTTTTTATCAAGTCAAGGATTTTAGAAATGTTCAACCCTCAAGTGCCGTCATCCCACAAAAATGTTTGATATACATGTCCATCAAAGTTATAGTTTATTGCCTTTTCTATGTGCTAAAGACACTGCCTAAGCACCCAGACCACGGTTTCGGTTATATTTTCCTTATGATGTTGCAATCTTCTGCCGAATTCCAGCCCCCTGACTGGTCGAGGTCACTGTTCAATAGGTAACTGAATCCATGTCTGGTTTTTAGACCTGGCTGCAAGACTGTCCTCTGTACAGTTGCATGAGAAATAACTATGTAATTTCCCAGATGTTTGTGATTTGTCATGTAGCCAAATCATTGCTTTTATTAGGGCGACCTGTCTCTGCAGTTAGCATCTTCAGGTAACATGCACCAGAGTCAAGCTCATCAATAAGGAGTGGGAAAGAGAAGAGAGAACTCTGGGGCATGTTTGCCTGCAAACATGACAGGAAGAGCAACAGCGCCAGAGCAGAAATGTTTGATTTATGGGTCAAAGAGCAGGAAAAGATGCTCCATGCCTCTCCCACCCTCTGAGTTGTCTACAGTGTTAGCGTTCTGTCGGGAGAGTGCCCTTCCTGCCCTCCCCCTCCTTCCCTTTCCTTCCCTTTCCTTCCCTCCCTGTGAGTCTAGTCTGCAGGAAATAAAGGGATTCAAGAGGAGGTCTCGAGTGTCCTATGGGGCCCTGTGGCTTTCTGGGATAGCAGGAAGTGATTGAAAAGCCAAACTGGATTCTACTGGGCAGACACCAGAAACCAGACGTAGTCACTCAGTAAGGAGAAGTTGTCATTGTGGTAGAGGAGAATGAAAGCATAGGGTGGATACTTGAGAGTAGCAGTTTTGAGCTAACAAAACGTTACAGCATTTGTTCCCTGAGGGAAAGGAATGAGGTACAACACACATAGTATAAGATATCACTTCCCTGACTAAAGACAACTCTATTCATGCCCTGCACATCCACATCCATCACCACGGCCATCCCTCCGTTTGAAAGCCCAGCCAAACCCAGTTGTTTTATCTTGTTCCTCTCGTTCAGGGAGAAGAAGTTATAACATTTCGTTCCCTTTCTGTCAATTCACTTGGTATAAAACATAGTATGGGACATGTATTAATGCCCCACAGAGCAGCCACTAAATTGGAATCAAACCACCAGCATAGTGTGCTATACCCACCTGACGATAAAGCCTCCTGTTCCTCTTCTGATTATGACGATGATGATGAATAATACTTCATACATTGAAGTGCCTTTCAAGTTCCAAGAACACATTACAAAATCCAGGTAATACAGTTTATACATCAAAATAATACTATTAATAAGATAGAAGGGGCAAGAGTATCCTAAGATTAACCATGCATGTCCAAGCTGATGTCCAGTATGTCATCATCATCATGGCGAGCAGCCAGCCCAAGCTGCAGCTAGCTAGCACTCTCAGAGGGCTCCGGCTAAAGCTCTGATTGCCCAGGTCAGCCCAGTTACCGGTGGGGACTTGGACCAAAAGGTCCTCAGTGTCTGACTTGGACAAAGCTGGGTCCATTGACTCTGAGAAAAGGGGGTCATGCCGTTCGACTGTAGTCTTTCCCAGCACTTTTCTCACAAATGTGACCCGCCTCTCCGGGGTGGAGCGCTGGACCTGGTGCACAGGAGTGTGCCTCGGTCAACATTTTCCATGCATGGACAATCCCCAGACAGACGCGACATGCCTCACGCTGGTCCTTGTCATGCAAAGAGAAGCCGCACTCCTGAGGGCTGAAGCGGACAGAAGATTACTTCTTGGCCTGTTAGGCTTGGTGTTTATTCTGAGACACAAAGCATGTAGGCAAAACGCTCAAAATTTGTGCTCCAACAGGGGCCATTCAGCTAACTTTGGGCTGGCAGTAGCCTACTGAAAAAGAGCGCTAACTAGCTTGATCTACTTAGCCCGATTTAGCAGGTGTTCTTCATGAGGTGAAGAGTGTAAGAACTGTGGGATGGCCGTAGTGATGGATGTATATACGCCACCTTAGGTCATCTGGTGTCTGCAGTCAGGCCACTCAGGGATGTGATGTCCCATGTGTGAAATGACTGATGGGCATTGAATCAAATGAACTTGATCAAAGTACCTGATAAAGCCTGGTTTATTTTAACCTTGGCATCACTTCGAGTGTTACAGCTTAAATATCCATACTCCATGCACACAGACTGACGTTTATGCTTCCACCAACCTCTGTGCTCGGCTCTAGAATCTGGTGTTTATGACCCTGCTCAGGGCCGAGCATGCCTGCCACCCCCCACTTGAGTGCAAAAGGCCATTGTGCAAGTAATCCTTTAGTACCGGCACCATAAAGGCTCTTTTGATTCTGTGTGTGTGGTGTGTTCCTTCCTAGTGTGCCACCCTCTGAGGCCATCTTCCCAAACACGGCGCCTAGTTTAGAAATTGTGTTCTCGAGACCTCGGTCATCAATAACCGCAGTTGATGTTCACAGCTGCGCCATTTAAACTTTGGTTAATAAAAAAGTGGTTAATCAATGTTTGAATTGTTTCATCAAATGCTGCTTTCAAGAAAATCTTTTGCTTTTAGCACATTCTGGCTTCAGTTTTGGAGTATCAAATAGAGTGAAAAAGAGACATTAGTGATTTGAAAGGCAGAGAAGTTTGGATAAAAGGGTTTAAATTAAATGCCGGTACATTCAAACTAGACTGCTCTACAAAGGCAGAGAGCCTACAGAGGATGTCTGAAGATTTTCATTCATCCAGGTCATAGTTATCCAAGGTGGGTTTAAATCAAGGGCAACTGGAGTGATTGAAGATACTCAAAGACGTTTCGCCACTCATCCACAAGGCTTCTTCAATTCTGGAACTGAAATATTAGAAACGTTTTTGTGAATCTTCAACCAGGTCCTGGATAAAAAATGATTTAGTTTTTCCAGGCTAGTACCTCTGCAGATACTGCACTCTGCCTTCAGCAAACAAAATTTGTTCTTTCACCTTGCTTGTCCGTATACACTAGTTTTTTGGGTTTTTTTCTTGAATGTAAATACACTATTTTGATAATTTACAATCCATAGTCTATAGGGATTAAATGTAGCCCTGTTTTGCTACTGACTATATGTTACTACAGTATATTGAAATCAACATTAAAGCGATCTATAATTTGATCAGTATATTAAATGAGAAAAGGGTTGCTTATACTGATGAACCTAAAGAGGATTATCACCTGAATCTGCAGCTTTCCTCAGCTTTACTGAGCTTTATAGTGAGTTTTAGCTCATCGTTCAGCTGTCCAGCCTACATCTTCACTGTTTTGGTTCAGTCTTACCCCTGTCATAGCATCATTTTCAGCTGCAGTAGGCAGCTGTTTTCTCTCTCTCTACCCGCTTAGCACCAAACAGCAGACAGACAAAGTTAGAGACTAGTGATCATAGTGAGCGTTTAGCAGCTAAAAAGACACTTATTTCTCACTTATTTCTCTCAGGAGTTGGTTGCATTTTGGTAAACTGTGGTTGTTTTAAATGTGCGACATAAATAGACTTGACTTCCATTTATATCTGTTGGCCACAAATGACTCCAAATGAAGGATAATGTTGCTTTCTGAATGTTGACCCCAAGTGGCCAAACAAATCAATTATTGCAGCAATTTTTTTATTTTTCATTGTTAGCTCTTGACTGTAGTGGAATTTGTGCAATTGCAGTGGTTGACCTAAGTAGATACTGCTGCTCTGCTAAGCGCGCTTTATCAGGGGTATACTTTTTCTCCATTATGATGGCATTGAGCTAATGCATCATTAGTTATGTGAAATAAAAAACAGAAGTAATTACAAAGATGTTAGTTAATCAAAATGGTTAATTTTCCATTACTTATTACAGCTAGGTAAAAAAATCTGTTAGTAGATTTATTTTCAGCTTTCTGTCTTGTTGTCTGCCTCTCTGTGGAAATTGTACATGCTTTTGTTTTACATAGATTATTCATTTCTATAACATAATTTGTATATGGTAAAACAGATTTCTGTTGTGACTGAAGTTTGACAAGTATGTACTTAGTGTTTTTTTTAGTTTAAGACAAACCTTTGGGCTTGTAAATTGTACCAGGACTGGATGACACTACAAAACCTCAAGTGTACATGATGGTATAAAAGCAACCAAGAAACTATTTGCAGAACTTTCTTTTCCGCAGTCATATTCTGCTGCTCCCCCGCAGAAAGCCTTATTTTAGTTCAGCCATCGCTCTGTGTGAGACCACTTGGCCTCTGCCAAGTGGAGAGCTGGAGAGAGGGGAGTGTGTGTCTGTGTGAGAGGCAGTGAGTGATTGACGGTGAGGGAAATGTCTTACCTCCAGTAATCCCACCTCCACCTATGCATGTCTGTCTTGTCTGTGAGGGGCTGAGGCAGCTGTTTGACTTGATGTGCTTCCCAGATGACCTCAGTGTGTTTACTCCTCATACTCTGCAGTCGGCAAAGTACGAAGACCTCTCACTCTCAGAAAGCTGTATTTTGAGTTTCTTGGCATTCCTCCTTTTTGCTTGCTTTCTTTTTTCTCACCAGTTGTTTGGTATAGGTACATCTAAGACTTACAATGTTTGTCTTTCATCTTGTCCCTCTGTGTCTTACTCTCTCTTTCTCTTGGCCTGTTTCTCCCTCTTCCCCTCTCTCACCTTTTCCCACTCTTTTCTGCATGTCTACCTTCTTCTATCGCTGCTCTGTCCTTCTCCCTGCCATCTGCCCTCCAGTCGTCAGAACCAATTGAAGGATCAGGTCCAGCAGGCTCTGGTGTCCCCCGGTCAGCTCCCAGAGGAGGCCGAGTGCCTCACGGTGCCCAAGTACAAGAGGGACCTTGTTCAGAAGCTCAAGATTCTCCGCCAGGAACTGTCCCAGCAACAGCCTCAGGCTGGCCACTGCCGCATCGAGGTGTCCCGTGAGGAGATCTTTGAGGTGAATATGAAAACAAACAAGCTCAGTCATGTCATCATGTCATCTGAAGCACACAAGGGGTCCCTGTTATTTTACGATACTCAGAAACGGGTACATAATTGAACCCAGAGGGAAATTCAGCTGTCACAGACAGATTATGAATTAAGCAAATTAAATTGCATGACAAAATGGTAGAAAAACATGGAAATAATTTAATATTTTCTCTATTACACATCCATCTTACCCCTTTTCCCCCAAACTCCAGCCAACAACTGTAAATTTAGCACCGTGAGCAATAAACAATAGCAATTTTGCGTTGTCCCCCCAGATTACAAGTAATGCCCCTACACTTCTTGCCCTCTGAGAAGCAAACGGCACATTATGTCGTTCTTTTGTACCTGCTGAGCTGCTTGTAAACTTTATTTATAGATGTACCCACGTTATTGTTAAACTTTCTCTCAAGGTTTTCCCCCCCTCTCACAGAGATATCTGTGATGTGTGAAGGTAGTCTTTGTTCAAAATCTAAAGCAGGCCTCATGTTTGTGATTAGGATTTTCTCAGCTAGGGAGTTGTTTTTTTTTTTTTTTTTTTGTTGTTGTTGTTTTTTCTGCATCTAGGAGGTGTGGGGCCTTCATCAGAGCAACAACACCTGCAACAGACTGCATGACCCTCATAAAATATTTACTGGAATGTGCTGGAACAGCCAAGTCTGTTAATCTGAACGAAGACATTTTTGTTGGCTGATCTCAATGTGAGAGATAGAGACAGGGAGGGGAAAGGAGAGGAGGGGTAGGGGCGGTGGGTTGAGGTTGAGCGAGTCTCCAGACCAGCTGAGGCATTACATTATGACTGAACAGCCAACTGTAAGCTGGTAGGCTGTCAGAACTGTCTTTATGCATACTTTTCGGCGTAGATAAGACATTTTCATTTGTCCTGCAGCGCCTCTATGTTGTCTGCTGTATCTGGAGGGCACAGTGGAACCTGGCTGTGATATTATAGTCTTATGTCTGTGTTTATTATAACTGCCACTAATCCACTTTAAATGAACCCTCCCTCTGACGCTGTGAGCCATCTGCACATGGGATGAACGCTGATCGAGGCGGAGAGATCTCACAACAGAGAACCAATTGGAAATGACTGTTATAACGCCACACAGCTTAACGCTCATTTCTTCCAATACTGCTACCGTCAAGCACATTTTACTTTAAAACACTCCCCAGTACTTCTAGATCCTAATTTCAAACCTTTTAGTCTCAACCTTTGGTCTAGCAGTTACCGTATTAAACATGCGCCATAATGCAAGACATGGAGCTTGGAGAGTGAATGCATCCCTGAAACTGGTCACACATGACCTTTTGGCAGTTTCCCCAGAGGAAGGGCCCCTGGCATAGCTATTGCAAACTGATAAATGGCTTCTCTTTAACTCTTTCTCCCGCTGAGGTGCATATAGAACCAAATGGCTCTGCATCAGCAGCAGGGCACGTACGGTAACCAGCTGTCTGACGGTGTTAGTGTCTTGACGTGTGTGTGTGGTTGTTTGCATCCGTGTTGCAGGAATCGTATCGACAGGTGATGAAGATGAGACCAAAAGACCTGTGGAAAAGGCTAATGGTGAAGTTCAGAGGCGAGGAGGGGCTTGATTATGGAGGAGTAGCCAGGTAAGAAGCCATAGGAAAAGATGAGCATGGTGCATGGAACACACGGACCTTTTACACAGCGCTCTGTTTCCTAGTGGGGGAGCAAAAGCACACCGCTTCCTCACCATTGTGTTGTCTGGTTTGTTGTAGTCATTTCTTCATCACTTTTAATTTAGTATGTTTAGCAACTCTGATGTGACCAGTATGTGACCTATGTCTTTTTTTTCCTCCCCCTTTGTCTACTGCCTGACCTGTGTGCATCTGCGTGGTGTACGCTGTGCAGGGAGTGGCTATATCTGCTGTCGCATGAGATGCTGAATCCGTACTACGGCCTGTTCCAGTACTCCCGTGATGATATTTACACACTGCAGATAAACCCTGACTCTGCTGTCAACCCTGTGAGTCACAGCTGTTGCAAACAACACACAAAAAACTCAAAATGTACATGATCAACAGGGCGTCATCTGCAAATTTTAAGAGTCTTATAACCTCATAACATTCCAATGGCCCGCGGGCCATCAGGTCCTCGCAGCAGCTCTCGCTATATGCCCACAATTGCTATGTTAAGCTCGTACTCATATGATACACCGTTTAAAAGCTAAAATGCAAACCATTTCAACATACAGTCGTCACAGCGGGTACAATCAGCGCCTCTGTCAGACCAATCAAAGTTGACGTGACACACCTATGAAGCCTCATAGTAATCCACCGATCGATTATATTCCAGCAAAAATGGTGGTGTTACTTTGTCAAAGGTCCAGACGATCCAATCCAGTAAAGCTATTTTGTCCAAACACATTATTTTATCAATAAATCCCCAGAGACTGCAGCTGCATTGTTTCATATTTGCTGGCAGACGTGCCTAGTATGTGATTATAACCGTAAAAACTCAGATTTGTATTTAAACAGCTACAATATTTTGTATTCAAATTAGCTGTTCTGACCTTTTGATTGACACCTAATTCGACCCAGTAGTCGCTCACATGGCAGGAAGTACCAGTCCCTATTATTTCATGGGTAGGCTTAGCAAAATGCAACCAATAGTACTGATGACTGGCACGTTGTGTAGCCAATATAATTCTGTAAATAAGGATTTCCAGCTTTAATTAGGAAGTTCATGATCTACCAGTGAAAAAAAACACATCTGCGTCAAGCTACCAGCTAATACGGCATAAGCGCAGCCGCAGCCCAGGGGCGGAGCTGTTAAGCTGTTGCTAAAAGAAAAACCTGTGTAAAATATTCCTTTTTCATGGTATTTGTATAAAATTTAAAATTGGACTAGGCTTTATGCCGTGGCCCTACAGTGTTTTCCAGCTAATAAGTCCCAGCTATAATTGTCTGCATGCACTTTTTCAAACGGAAACGAAAAATATATTACTTTTACTGTGTTTAAACTTATATTAATCAATTCCAGTAGCACTAACAGTGATTCTGACTTTTGGGTTAGGGACTTCAGAGTGTTATCTTTCAAAGAAGCCCCAAAACCATGCATTTACTCCAAATGGTTCAAGAACTGCATTCAATTTACTTTGGATATGCCCTGAATAGGCGTTTTGCATGAATTTTATAGGAATGGTAAGAGGTTAAGAAACATGGAATCTAGTTCCCTCTTTTACAAAAATTCTGAATATTATTTGTTGCCTGTAGACAGTAACACAACAGTTTTTGATGGTTTAATCTATCCATCCGTTTTCTGCCACTTATCTCCAGGTTACGAGAATTGATTAACTAGATTTCAATTATTTATTGTTATATACAGCTGGGAAATACTGACAAATGTGAAATGAATGCAGAACTGTCACAAACACTTTAAATGCTCAGTACTGCTCTTCATTTGGAAACTAAATTTATGTTTTGTACCCCTCCAGGAGCACTTGTCGTACTTTCACTTTGTGGGCCGTATTATGGGGATGGCAGTGTTCCATGGCCACTACATAGACGGAGGCTTCACTTTGCCTTTCTACAAACAACTGCTGGGTAAACCCATCACTCTGGACGACATGGAGTCTGTCGACCCTGACCTACACAACAGCCTTGTGTGGATCCTGTACGTACAAGACACATTTTTCAAGTCCAAAAACATTACTGACTTTTCTGTGTAAGTGAAAGAGGTTCTCTGGATTACACAAAACAGTATGCATTCTACAGTCTATGTGCTATGAATATATACAGGATTGTTATCTGTACCTAAAAATAACTTTAACATTAATTTCAGAAAATTACAATCTACCAAGTTGTTACCCAACCCACATGAAAACCTCTCTCCCGTACTTGGATGACAGCGCCCCCCAGGGCTTTGAATATTTCTTACATCAGTGGTCCCTAAGCATGTGACCAGATCAGCTTATTAACATCACATCTGCTGATTTTCCCCAGTCGGCACGCATTCAACAAAAAGGATCTCACTACTGTTTTTATTGGAATGAAAATGTTTAAAACAATATTTTATTTTGTGTGTGTGTGTGTGTGTGTGTGTGTGTGAGTGAGTGAAAGTCCTCAAACAGTAATCCAAATGTGTATCTCTCTTCAGGGACAATGACATCACAGGTGTGCTGGACCACACCTTTTGCGTAGAACACAACGCCTACGGAGAGATCATCCAGCATGAACTCAAGCCCAACGGGAAGAGCATCCCCGTCACCCAGGACACCAAGAAAGAGTACGTCCGGCTCTACGTCAACTGGCGTTTTCTGCGAGGCATAGAGGCCCAGTTCCTGGCCCTGCAGAAGGGCTTCAATGAGGTCATCCCCCAACACCTGCTAAAGTCTTTCGATGAGAAGGAGCTTGAGGTACTTTTATCTATTTCCCATTTCTCATGTCTATTTGTTGCTTGACTTACCTCCAAGTACATTTGGTTGAACATACTGAAATCATTTCATGACACTGCTAAACAAAGCAAATCTACTTCTTTCCTCGACCTGTAGCTGATTGTATGCGGCCTGGGTAAAATCGACATCAACGACTGGAAGTCCAATACACGGCTCAAACACTGCACTCCAGACAGCAACATTGTTAAATGGTTCTGGAAAGCTGTGGAGTCCTTCGACGAGGAGCGCAGAGCCCGGCTGCTGCAGTTTGTCACTGGCTCCTCCAGAGTTCCCCTACAAGGCTTCAAGGCCCTCCAAGGTAATAACACCAAGGAGGAAAACTGTGCAGATGTAATGTTTTATTATGTAAATGCTCTTTTACATTGGACTTGTTATGCAATAAACGCAAGACAGTCCTGCGTTCGAAACCGCCACTGAAATAGCTTGGTGTGAATTGCCTTCTTTGTGGAATGAAATATTAGCCATCAGTTTAAAGGGATACAAAGTGTTGCATGCTAATGTGATGTCAGATCTATAATGTACAAAAAGTGTGATAATATATTCTTTACTGTTCTTTTGGTGCACAGACAGCTGCTCTATAGTCACAGGCTCGGTCAACACAACACTACATGTGTGTCTGGGATTCTTGGCTTCTCTGTGTGTGTGTCTGTGTGTGTCTGTGTCTCTGGGTTTCTCCAACCTGAGATGAACCCTGAGTCTGTGCTTAGTGCAGTGGTTCAGTGGGTCCATCCTGGCAGACTGCACTGCCCAGAGACAGAGCACGCAGGCATGTCGAGTACACGGTGATCCACAGGCAGACGGCACCCTTACACACCTTTATATAATGTGGCCATCCTTTCATGGTCAAAACATCCCCCGAAGCCAGAACACCCAAAAACAACACACACACTTACAGGGGTCTGTGGCATCACTTAAGTTTTAAAAGCTAAACCCAGCTACAGTCAAGGGAGAAAGTCAACTGAGTTAGGACTGTTGGTATCTAAATACTCTACAGTAGGGGTCGGCAAATAAATCTGACATCGGGCCAATTTTTTTTCAAGCCATTACATGGCGGGCCAGAACATTATTTCAGTCAAATTACTTCAAACCCTTAGATACTCATGTGCACGTTTAGCCCAGTCGGTAGACTGCGGGACTCCTGTTGGAGGAGTTGTATGATCGATCCCAAAATAAAAAAAAAAATGTTCTCCCTTGTTAAACAAATTGATGAGGACAGTTTTTCACATGCTCGCAATAAAGCATGCGCCGCAGTGCGTGTGCGTCCCCGGCGTTTGATCCGCATTCATAAACCTATGGACACTAACTTTCATTAGTGTTTACGGACGACTTTTTTCAGAGTTGTGTCATGTAAACTAGAGACTCTTATGAATGTCCTTCAGAACATTTCAAAGTAAAAGCTCTCAATGAACTCAACATGAAGCATTGCTTCAAAAAACATTCTCACGCTTTTATTTTGGAGGCATATCCACTTAAGAGGAAGTGATTATGTGAGTAACTGTTGCTGTCATGAGTGAGATCTATTTCAGCATCAGCCACTATCAATTTATTCATTTTTATTTTTCTGCTATCATAGCAATCTGGCCGCGTATTGCTGGCGGGCCAGTTCTGGCCTGCGGGCCGCCTATTGCCAACCACTGCTCTACAGGACTATGTATTGGTGGACCATCTGAATATTTAATGAATGTCTCCAATAACAGGAAACCTCACGAGTGAATGAGTGATCTACTAAATACAGCAACAAAGGATGGCCATCACTAATGTATATTAATGTTTCTTTATTGTTTTGTTGTAGTCGGAAAGCAAACATCAACTCATTATTTGCGGTGCTATCAAGTAACAGCTTTGCTTCTTATTGTATGAAAGCAGAGAAGGCGACCATAATTATAATTTATAAAGTAACTGAAACACTAATTGTGAAATGTAACAACTACTGAATACTTCTAAAAATGTTTAAATTTAGAAATCACTAAAGTTACAGCACTGCAAATATTTTACATTGAAAACTGAGGTAATTTAAAGTTATGTAATTTAAAAAACTGAAAAATATTGAGTTAAAAATGTTTGTGTCCAGGGTTTCTAGTCAAGGGGAAGGACTGGGGGAGGGGTCTGAGTAAACAGGGCCCTCGTGTGAGGAGGTGCCACAAAGACACTTGAACAAATCGCTGTGGATGCGGGGAGGGGCCCATAGAGAATGCACAGGTAGAGGGTCCAGAATTTTGTGCGACGCCACTGTTTCCAATCCCTCACCTGAAATTTTCTTTCTTGGGGATCCTGACGGGATAGGACAGAAGTCTGATTGAGTCTTTTGGGCTTGATGGATTATCCTTGCCAACCCGTATGTTCAAATTTGAATTAACATCTTGAATTTTGGCATCTGATTTTCACCGTGTCAATTTGACATTTTAGATCTCAGAAAGACGCACTTAATCTGAGCATTTTTTTTTAATATATTTTGGACACTAAAGTCTGAATTTGTGAACCTGGGGGGAAAAATCTAAACTTTCAGGAACTTCTGGAAATTTAAAGAGAAATTCTTCACAGTGAACTAAGCTAATTGTGTTTTAAACAGGTGCTGCTGGGCCTCGGCTCTTTACCATCCACCAGATTGATGCCAGCACCAACAACCTGCCCAAAGCCCACACCTGGTGAGGTTCTGCAGCGGTATAGTCATCCAAATGGTCTTGTTGTTTTCAGAATATGATTTTAAAATCTGTTCCCTTCTGTTTTCCCAGTTTCAATCGGATTGACATTCCTCCCTACGAGCACTATGACAAACTGTACGACAAGTTGCTCACTGCCATCGAAGAGACGTGCGGCTTCGCTGTTGAGTGAGTCACAGATGCAGGCAGAGCTCAGCAACAACCAGAAGCAACATGGTTTGGCCATGATGAGCCTCCCCTTACAAATCAGTCCACTCAGACAGGCGTCATCCACGGTTGCTTCACCCAAGGACATCCATACTTCCCGGGGACACGTGGCCAAGCTAAGGGAGGGTGGGCAGAGAAGACCAGAAAATGTCATCTGACTCCGGGGTTGTTTTGTTGTTGTTTTTTTTAGACTCTCCAGCCCTCCTTTATGACTTTTTTTTAATCATTCAAAAGGATCTCTTCAGCTGCTAATAAATAAGACTATTTACTAACTTGTGGAACCTGCAAAATTTGCTGGGTCTTCCCTTTTTTTTTTCTCTTAAGTTCATTTTAGCATTTAAAAAAATAGACTGTATTCCATGTAGCAATGTTCCATCGAGCAGAACACAAGGTCAGTCCACTCTGAAACGACATTAACAAGTCTGGTTTGTTTGCTAGAATACAGGGTTATTGATGGTTACCACAGCCACTTGGAAACACTAAATTTGGATGCAGAGTGTGTGTGATTTGGGCTGTTCGGTGCCTCAGTGATCACACTGGGGCTATCAGTAATGCCAGGGCTGGAAAACGGTGATGTGAGCGGATGAGAATGCAAGACTGGAGACTGAATTAGGCAGAGCCCGACTGTTTACAACCCTCTCCAAAGACAGCAGCAGGGACCTCAGCTCCCGAGTTGCTGCCTGAACAACTAGCGCTACATTCCCAGAACACCACTTTCAAACGTCTGACAACAAGTTTTGTTGAATGAATGACTGAGTGAATGAATTGCTTGAAATGTGTTATTTTTATATAACAGGGAAAATTAAAAAAGAAACAATAAAATTCTATATAATATATATAATTTATTGTTGTTATATTTCAGATACCCCTTTACATTGTTCCAGAAAAAATACAAATCTTTTAAATGTTAAGTTAACTGTTTAAATTATGGAAGACAATTTGTGAAAACAGAATTAAGCTTGACTGAATTTCACTTAAGAAGGCTGTGTTTTATTTCTTGACGTAACCCCTCTCATACTGTACAAGGAGAGGTATGTCTTCAAGGGCAAAAAATCTTAAACACACTGTCGTGTGAGTGCCATTATCATTTTGAATGAATGAATGAATCTTTGCAAATATTGAGCGGACCCTTTAAATTCTACTGATTTTCATCCTGTAGCAACACATGGTGGTGTGGTGTGACGTTTCTCTTCTATTACCCTTTACAGTTTGTCATTTGTAGCTGGGCTATATTAATGTCACTAGCATGAAAGCTACCATTCATTTCTAATGGTACTCTGTTCAGAAGCGTCATCATAATCTATTTTGTGTTGCCTCCATGTTGTTGAAAAAGAAAAACCTCTACTACCTTGTGGCCATGTGGTGCTAAATAGCATTAACGTTTGTCTTATATTGGCAACCTTACTCATTGACATACTACTGCTTAAAGTGCACAATACACTACTCGTGCTCATACCTGCTTGTGGCCACAAAACACATCCAAGAAACCAAGAGCTCTACCAAGCCACATACTCAGGAGATGTCATATGTAGTTTGTAATGTCCTTTTAATTTGACGACTGACAAGAAACTAATTCTGACCATTTGTCTTGATTTCCTGAATGTGAAACGGTTTAAAAAGTCTTGTCATTTAAATAATTTTGCCCACAGTAGACCATTGACATATAGTAATCGTTGCATGTGTCCATGTGCTTTTGTTTGTTTTGAAAGGAAAATGAATGAGATGAACTTGTGTTTTAGCCTGCTACACAGTCCCCATCAGTAATGTTTTCATTTAGAGGAAAGGGGATTGTTTTATACGATTTAAAAATTAAATTGTTGAATGTTTTCAAAAGATGCTGCCTGTCTAGCAATCTCTATGACCGTGGACTGTTCTTAACGTTTGCATACACACAAAAAAAATGAACTCTTAATTTTCCTTCTTTTATGTGGACTTGTGTGTATGCAAAGTGAAAAGTGTCCTCAGATGGTGCTTTGTACAGTAATAAGATATTGTTCATATGTGTGGATCCAACGACCTGTAATTTATCTTTTAACTTAAGTAGAAGAAGATTTTCTTGAAATGGAAAAAAAGGAATTGCACACAAACAGAACAAGGTCGCCGTGTGTTTTTAACGGTGACTTCTGCAACGGATATTCATTCGCCTTTTTAAGTCCAGTGCACAAGCTGATCACCCTACTGTCTGTTCCTACACTACATCGCTCAGCATTGCCCCGTAGCTGCCTCTCATTGAAGAACTGAACTTTTTATTAAACAAGTCAAAGTTGAGAGAGATTTTTGAGCGCTTTTGTTTTGTTTTTTAATAGCATGATCCACTAGCAGGACTATATCTCTCATAGCTGACTGATGCAATTTGATGTATGTTAACACTATCATTTTGTAAGAGTATTTTATTTTTGTGTGTAATTAGTTCTAATTAAACTTGCCTTTGTCTAACAATGTAAGGCCTTGTACAAAGATATGTCTTGTCCTTTTTCTGTTTGAATGGTCAAATGTCATAAAAAAGACTTTTAATCAAAGACTTTAATTGTTAGGCTGCTTACAATAGAGGTGCTCTTCAACTGGCCCTTTGGTACAGCACTTATTTACATTAGTTATCATGCAAAGACTCATGGTTTACATGACAATTACACATGTTTCCGGCCACCCACTGTGTACTCTGATACCACTCTGGATTAAAACTTTTGTCAGATGGGGGCAGGGAAAGGGGGTAAATGACTGGAGAGGTTGGGGGGTAGGGGGTATTGTTGTTTCATAGATATGCAAGTAAATCATACTACACAGAGGTCTGCGTCTAAGACTGTAAAGACAATAGTAGTTTAGACTTCAGGATAATTACACATATTTTGATGCTTCCCTGTGTAATCAGTATCATTAAATATGTCAGGGATAACAATATGTAAAAACACAATCTACAATATAAAGGTGCAGTAATTATGAAAGACAAAATACTTCTTAAAAAATATTCAGGTAGGGAGTAAACCGTACTCTCATTGTCGTTTTGGTCCACTTTTAAGACCGAGGTAGCCAAAGGTCATAAACATGACCTCTGTTTATTTTCCTCTAGAAGAAAAATGCTTTTTGCCAAGCTATATACTGGTTTATACCAACAAATCTGTAATAATTAAAGATTATAATAAAGTCATTAACACTTCAAATTTGCTTGTCCACTTTTTCCAACATAAGTTAATGTGAAAAATCATCACACAGATTAATTACATTGGCTGTAATCGAAAAATACAAGAGGGAAAAAAAGTAGTCTCTTTTTTTTTGGTCCCGATGACGTCACTTACCGTAATACATCGGAAGCACAATCACAGCCGGATAACCAGTTTCTGTCTCGTACATATTCATCCGCCCATGTATCAAAGGGAAACGCCGGAAAACCGAGTTTGGCTTTTCACGGTGGCATTTTTTAAGTGTAAGAGAAATTAAAAAACACATAAACGATGTTTACTTTTTATGTTAAAAAAAAAGTTACGTCTGCAATGTGTCTATGTTGTCAGTCGGTAGAAACTGAAGTTGAGAACCGTCTGGCGGATGGATACATCAGAAGGGGGGACTTCCTTGTGCTATATAACCCGGGCCTCATTTTCTCTATACCGGCATTTCAGCACCACTGCCGGTCGGGGTTTCTTTTAGACGGCCAAGCCACAGTGTAGAATATTTATATCTTTTTTTTTTATTTATACTCGTTAACGTAAACTTACTTTACAAAATGCCTGGGTATTCCGACAGAGACCGTGGTAGAGACAGAGATAGAGGGTGAGTACATTTTCTGGTTTGTTTAAGGCGAGTTTTTCTTTCGTGTGATTTGTAGAAATGGCCGACAAGAATACAACGTTAACGATATAACCAAAAAAATGAACAGACTGGCTAAATACAATCTTTTTTTTTTTTAGAGTATCTAATTACGTTTTATTCTAAGTGATGATCTTTCCCTATGTGAATAGCAGGCAGTTTGCCGGCTTTATCTGTATATGGGAGGCCTAACGTTTTACCGAGGAAGGAAACCCGTTGTCTTTTGGCTCAAGGCCTAGTTTGGCCTCGTGCCCCGGCACAGCGGCTTTTCGTTAGCTTCAGGGAAACGTTAGCTGACTAGGCGCTACGTTTCACCGCCACATGAAGCACCGATCGTGGATATCGGTGGACTGTGATTTCACAGACTTTTCTAGAGATGAGTTGGATGCAGATGGTCCATCTGTAGTTAACATGTAATGTGTAGAGTCACTGCTCTAGCGTGGAGGGCTGTTGCTAATGCAGCTGGCTAGTCGGCTTTTCGCCATGTGGCAGAGTGAATGCGGATACAAAATGCCGGCTGTTTATCCATTGTTCCTCTGCTGGCTGGAAAGTATATGGCAGCTATATAACTTCAGTGACGCAGTTAAGATTAGTCTGTTTTAAACCGCTGTTGCCGCCGCCGTTATTGAGACAATTCGGTCCAGCCGGACTCAAACCACGACTTAACAGTTAATTTATTTGCAGCTATGGCGGCGGCCCTCCTCGCTTCGGTGGCAACCGTGGTGGAGGTGGAGGGAAGTTTGGCAATCCTGGCGAACGGCTGCGGAAGAAACAGTGGAACCTGGACGAGCTCCCAAAGTTTGAGAAAAACTTCTACCAGCAGCATCCCGATGTTGCCCGAAGGTCTCTGGTAAGTAGCGCTAGTCCACATGTTCATTGAGATGTTACCCAACACTACTGGGAATGTGCCCTTTCATACACGTGTTGCCCTTATGTAAGAGGTTATGTAAACTGAACTAAAGTTATTTAATTTTTATCTTGCAGCAAGAAGTTGAACAATATAGAAGGGCCAAAACAATTACGTTTAAAGGGAGAGATTGCCCAAATCCTATTGCAAAGTTCCATGAGGCCAGTTTCCCATGTAAGTATGAAACCATGAACCAATATCACAATACTTCATCAATTTTAGTGCATCTCAATTAATGCTGGGCTCTTTTCTCCAGCATATGTGATGGATGTGATCAACAAACAAAACTGGAGTGAACCAACTCCCATCCAGGCTCAGGGCTGGCCACTGGCTCTTAGTGGCAAGGATATGGTTGGCATTGCACAGACCGGCTCTGGGAAAACTCTTTCTGTAAGTTGCACATGACAAGCAGACAAGCTAGATCAGTGAGGGTGTGATTTGATTTTTATATTGTCCCACGCACTGACTGTTTCATGTTTGCTCTGCAGTATTTGTTGCCTGCAATTGTGCACATCAACCACCAGCCTTTCCTGGAACGTGGAGATGGTCCCATTGTAAGTACACAGCCACATTTTTACATGAATCTCAGAAAAGGGTTTTAGCCCGTTGACAACAAAGTGACATACAATATGCAGCAAGCGATCTTATTTCAGGTCAGAGTGTAGCTGCCTTTTGAATGCCATAACTTCCTCCTTGACAGTGCTTGGTGCTAGCGCCGACCCGTGAGCTGGCACAGCAGGTGCAGCAGGTGGCTGCCGAATATGGCAGAGCTTCTCGCCTGAAATCGACCTGTATCTATGGAGGAGCGCCCAAGGGACCCCAGATCCGTGACCTGGAAAGAGGTATTGTAGCTTCCTTTTTTTTTTTTGCCCTGATGCATTGTCTTAAGGGTTAGGATTTCACAATGAGTCTCTTCTTAAAGGTGTGGAGATCTGCATTGCTACTCCGGGAAGGCTCATTGACTTTCTTGAGGCAGGAAAGACAAACCTCCGTCGCTGCACCTACCTTGTGCTGGATGAGGCCGACAGAATGCTGGACATGGGCTTTGAGCCACAGATCCGGAAAATTGTTGACCAAATCAGAGTAAGTACTTTGAGGGTCATGACATCTGTCAAATGTCTCACTGCTCACCAGTTCTAAATGTAATGGAACCTGTTTCTAATTGTTACACTGTCTTTGCAGCCTGACCGTCAGACTCTGATGTGGAGTGCGACTTGGCCGAAAGAGGTTCGCCAGCTGGCAGAGGATTTCCTGAAGGAATACGTCCAGATCAATGTCGGGGCGTTGCAGCTCAGTGCCAACCACAACATCTTGCAGATAGTGGATGTCTGCAATGATGGAGAGAAAGAGAACAAGTGAGTAATCTTACCATGGCAGTAAGAGGTGTTGGCGCCAATGTTATTGTAATGGCTTTAGGTGACAGTGACGCATTTTTACATTTCTAGTAACAGTAAGTGACTTTTCTCTTTAAGACTTCTGCGACTCCTGGAGGAAATCATGAGTGAGAAGGAGAATAAGACCATAATCTTTGTAGAGACCAAGAGGCGGTGTGATGACCTCACCAGGAGGATGAGAAGGGATGGGTAAGTGTTGAAATGAAAATACTGATTCACAGCATGACTCTGTAATGGCCTTCAGAGTTATGAAGTACAGATAAACATTGAAACCTTTTGTTTTTAGATGGCCGGCTATGGGAATCCATGGAGATAAAAGCCAGCAGGAAAGAGACTGGGTTCTCAATGGTAAGCATGAATCACCAGTAAATTTACAATACTGGTTAATCAAAGCTGTTCAGGAAATGACCATGTCTGAAATTTCTTTCTCTGAACCAGAGTTCAAATACGGAAAGGCTCCAATTCTCATTGCTACAGATGTTGCCTCCAGGGGTCTAGGTCAGTATCCTATCTGCGCTGGGTTTTTACCCTAATGTATTTCAAAAAGAAAGTGTATTTGCTTTCTTTAACTCTTCTGCTTCTTTCTGAGTTTCTCCCCTGGCCTGAAGGAGCAGTCTGTGTGGCAGGGCCTTGGCATGACAAGCCCAGGTCTCCAGAGGGGGAAGGAGGATTCTTGGAGGTGTCCTGACTGGCGAGGCACGGGTCTCCCAGTCGCGCAGATATACAGAGGTGACCAGGCCCAAGTGCAGCATTACGCGCTGGCCTGCCTAAAAAGGGGGGCGAGTTGAGGGCTGGCCACAGTTCCTCCCCCATGTGCTCGTCTGTTCTCTGGCAATGGTTTGGACTGCTTCTCACACCCAGGCTCTGTAACTGTCCCAGCTCAAAGCCCAGCTACACTGTCTCCTATTGTCTTGCATGTATGTTTGGGCACTGCGTTGCAAGCCATTTGAGTCATTTGGGGGGTGCTTTTTGTTGCGTAGACTTGTTGTAAAGCATGGGTGGCGTTTATGTTGCAGTTTTCTAAACTCCTGTCGGAAGAGCAGTCCGCCAGATCGATCATACCTCACCTCTGTAATGACATGGCTACTGGCGCTTTTGGTGACAGTGGGACATGCTAGTTGGACACACTTGGACAAAAAATCCAAGCTCACACTCCTCCCTCGCCTGCGTTTCAAAGTCATGTCGAGACCTGCCAACGAGAGACATTAAGATCAAGTGAACACGGGGTCTGGAAAAATCTTGCCATGCTGAGTGGGGATGCACTGTTTTGTAGGCATCCAGCAAATTGGTTCAGATCTACAGTTTCTTGGCAAGAGACACTGCAGTGTGAGCTTTATAACAAGCATCCCGTGAGTGCAAAGGGACCTTGGTTAAGTTCTAGTTCAAACACTAGGAGGCAGTAGTGTGCATAGCAGCCCTACTGTAGGGACACCTGTGGGTCACTTGAACATAAGTGGGGCTTGAGCTGCAATGGGAATGGACTAGTGAATGCATACTCCAAAAAAGTGGTAAGACTTCTGCTCCATTCTTTCCGAGGGTGGTTTAGCAGTGGTTCGGAGGGTTTTTATCGTATCCCACTGGATTGGAAGCCATTGGAGTGTGCATCGTTTCTCTCTTCCCACCGTAGTCTCCCCGTGGAGTAAATATTTGTGTACTTTGTCTAATGCTAGTCTTTTGCAGCCAGATTTTGCCCAGCCGTCCCTACCTCATGAGCATTCTAACTTTTGTTTTTGATGTGGTTGTGGTGGCGCTGGCGCACGTCTTTGTGTGCTGTCCTCCTTTGCCTTTATGCCACACCGCAACACAATCTTACAGATGTTGAAGACGTGAAATTTGTCATCAACTATGACTACCCCAACAACTCTGAGGACTATATCCACCGCATTGGCAGAACGGCTCGTAGCCAAAAGACAGGCACAGCTTATACCTTCTTCACTCCAAACAACATGAGGCAAGCCAGCGACCTCATCTCTGTGCTCCGCGAGGCCAACCAGGCAATCAACCCCAAGCTCCTCCAAATGGCGGAAGACAGAGGAGGTAAATCTAATTGGTGAGATACAGAAACTGTGCTGTGAACTGCAGCCACTTTTTTTTTCCCCCCTGCTGCTCCTTTTGTTTGTTCTGAGGATTGGATGGGTTTATCATAATGAACTTATTTGTATCACTTTTTTTGGTTAAATTTGTTTGGTTTTTTTAAACATGACTAGCCATTCCCCTCTCCTTAAATGTCTTGGGTTTTTTTTTCTCCTCCAGGTCGTTCAAGGGGAGGCCGAGGTGGTGATTATAGAGATGACCGTCGGGATAGGTATTCCTCTGGAAGGCGTGATTTTGGCAGTTTTAGGGACAGGGATAACGGTAGAGGGTTTGACAACGGACCAAATAAAACGTTTGGCACAAATTCACAGAACGGAAGCTATGGGGGCAGTAACAACAGTGGCAGCAATGGCTTCAGCGGAGGCAGCTACAATGGTAATGGACAGTCCAACTTTAGTAACAACCAAACGGGCGCCTTCGGAGGCCAGACCAACTTCCAGGCCCAGCAGTTTGTTCCCAGTAAGGGTGGTGCACAGACTGGCGCGAGTCATCCCCCTTTCCCATTCCCCCAGGCACAGGCTCCGCAGCATCCCCCACCTCTGGTGCCCTACCCCATGCCCCCTCAGTTCTCTCAGTAAACACGCCATACACTTGAAAGAAGTAATTTATTGCTTTTGTCTTGTTTTAAGTTCTACACTTGATCCAGTTTTTTTTACACAACAGGGTTACAAACAACATTAACCTCTATCAAGCCTTTTAAGATCTGCAGTGCAGCAATGGATGTGTTGCGCACTTGTTTCCCTTACTATTTAATTTGTTACATTCCTCAGCAATGTTTAGTTATGTTTTGTACTAGGTAATTACAAATGTATTGGTTTTTCATGTATCATTGAAAGTGATGTTAAGCTCCAACCTTGGAAGTGCACTGCATGATCTTTCAAAATAAAACATTAAAAAAAAATCTGCTTTTGTGGTATTTAAATTTTCAGTCATTGTGGAAGTTACTGTTGACTCATACTTCATTGGAGAAGAAATAATGCTACACTGCTACTGCCTAGCATGTCCAGTAGGGGTCGTGTTTCATAAATGCACGAATTCAGGCATCCTGTTGAGTGTTTCTCCCATGCGCTTGAACAAGCATGTCAACTTTACGTATATAGTAATGTTACAATACTGAAGGATGCAGGGGGGGACTCTGCGGGTTCTGTCCGTCTCGTTGTTGCCATAACATTTGTACCAAAAATGGAATAGCTCTGTTGACGTGCACATACTGTCACTCCTGCCTGGTGCCCCAGCAGCGGAAAGGGATTGGTAACTTGTCTTTCCCTGTCAGTCTCGTGCCAGTCGCATGCTGGCAGAATGACTAGTAAGGGTTGGCACCTTGTCAACACAAATCTTTTGACTCCTTAAAATGTCAATCATTCCAGTTACACTTCTCAGCTGTAGTTTAAAATCTGTATATGTGAGCACATCTTGTTTAAGGAAGTTGGAAGACATTGGAGACATTACTCCACCTGCTGATCGAGGGCCAGAATGCGTTTTCTGTGATCCAAAAAAAGACTTAAGCATTTGACCAGTAAGATGTAATACTGAAATATAGGCCCCTTCCCCCGGCCGGCTACTGACCGAACAGGACATTTAGCAGGTTAGCCATTTATTCAGAGTGCTCCTGTTGGTTAAAATCTACACCTGATTACTGTCTTGACAGGTTGCCTCAACCAATGGTTCTTTCACTAACGTTTGAGTAGACAGTGCTCACGTGAATTTAAACGTTCTTTTAATAGAACAAAAAAGAGAAATGTTTTTAAATTTGTGTGGTTAAAGCCTCAGAGAGACAGTGATTTTTAACGTGAAACTGTTTTATCCATTTTTTCTGTCTGTTTTATTCAACTGGTCCGTTTGTTCTGGAGAGGAGGAGACCTCTGCCGATAATTCGGCACCCGGTAAAAATCTGAACACCGAAGGAATCCTAACCGGGAGAAGCTGACCGCTCCAAGGCAATGGTGGTGAAGGCAACTCCCTATGATCCCATACTACTTCAAGATGTCATTAAACTACGTCTTTTTAGAGACTCTATCGCCAGAAAACGACAGACTGTGCTTTAATTGCCTTTTAAGTTGACATGGCAAAGAGTTGCTCATTTACACATCCAGCTGTTATGGAGCAACATTGATCTCGAGTCGTGTTCCTAACCACCTGATGAATGTAAGTCCAAGGCGTGTTCTTTTTAAATCTCCTTTTAGAAAAGAAAAAAGTCTTAAATTTGTGTGGCAGAAATGTGTATTTTATGTTAATAGTCTAGTGAGTATGGTGTGATCAGGACTGAGCTTTAAAACATTCAACAACATAAATAACAGTCACTTCAAGTAGAGGCTATAGTTTGAGGGCCCCTGAGCCTCTGGGCCCCAAATACTGAGATGAGTGTGTTTGTTGATTTTAATCTTGAGAGGACCTGGGTCCACATGTGTCACAGTAGAACCTGTTGCTACACTTCAAGCATGTACATTTCTGTGCAAAGCTTGAAGGCAGTTGTGGGGAAAATGTTAAAGTAAGAATGCTTTCAAAAACATGTTAATAGATTAGGCTATATTTATCACTAACAAAATACAAAGTGAGTGAACAGGAGAAAATCAGATCAATATTTGGTGTGACGACCCTTTGCCTTTAAAACAGCCCCAGTTCTTCTAGGTACACTTGCACTTAGTTTTTTAAGGAACTCGGCAGGTAGGTTGATGGAGACCTACCCTCAGTCCTTCTGTGGATTTATCAGCCCCAGTTGCTTCTCTCTCTTCAGGTAATCCCAGACAGACTCAATGATGTTGAGATCGGGGCTCTGTGGGGGCCACACCATCACTTCCAGGACTCCTTCTTCTTCTTCACGCTGAGGATACTTCTTAATGACCTTCGCTGTGTGATTGGGGTCGTTGTCATGTTGCAGAATAAATATGGGGCCAATCAGATGCCTCCCTGATGCTATTGCATGATGAATAAGTATCTGCCTGTACTTCTCAGCATCAAGGAGACCATTGATTCTGACCAAATCCCCAACTCCATTTGTAGAAATGCAAAGAACCTCCACCCTGCTTCACTGACAAATCTTGACTCATTAGTTCAGAGCACCTGCTGCCATTTCTGCACTCCAGTTCCTGTGTTTTCATGCATAGCTGAGCTGCTTGACTTTGTTTCTATGTCAGAGGTCTGGCTTTTTGGCCGCAAGTCTTCCGTAAAGGCCATTTCTGACCAGACTTCTCCGGACAGTAGATGGGTGTACCCACTGTTTTCTGCAGCTCTGAGCTGCTGGACGTCTTCAGATTGTGAAAGGAAATAAGCATGTTCTGTCTTTCATCTGCTGCAGTAAGTTTCTTTGGCCAACCACTGTGTCTATGGTCCTCAACGTTGCCCGTTTCTTTGTGCTTTTTCAAAAGAGCTTGGATAGCACATCTGGAAACCCCTGTCTGCCTTGAAATGTCTGCCTGGGAGAGACCTTGTTGATGCCGTATAACTACCTTGCATCTTGTTGCTGTGCTGAGTCTTACCAACGTGTATGACTTTTGACAGTAACCTGTCTTCAACAGCCTCACCTTGTTAGCTGAGTTTGGCTGTTCCTCACCCAGTTGTATTCCTCCTACACAGCTGTTTCTGTCTCAGTTAATGACTGTGTTTCAACCTACATATTGAATTGGTGATCGTTAGCAACTGTTTGGTATAATTGCTTAATCACGCACCTGATGATACGCCTACAATATCCCTGACTTTGTGCAAGTGTACCTGGAAGAATATATGCTGTTTTGAAGGCAAAGGGTTGTCAGACCAAATACTGATTAGTTTTAGATTTTTCTTCTGTTCAATCTCTTTGCATTTTGTTGATTGATAAATATTATATATTATCTATTTTTGACAGCATTCTTACTTTACAGCATTTTTCCCACACCTGCCTAAAACCTTTGCACAGTACTGTATATAATCAAGATTGAAACCAGGGTACAGGTCAGCACCTAGTGATTATGTGATAGAGCTGCCTGTGGACAGCACAAGAGTGCTGTGGGTGCGGCTGATATAAAGTGCCTTCTACATATTTACAGAACCATGGCTTGAAAGTATGTGTTGAACTTTCGCAGAGTAAATACTACTGAGCGTTCTTCGTCATGTGAGTCAGATAATTGCTTTTTCTTTTTCATCCTGATATGTGACAGCCACACCCTGCTGTTGAAAGCATCATTTGCATAGTAGAACATGTTTGGCTTGTATGAAGGTTTTATGTTTTCGGGGGGGGGGTGCACTCTAAAAGCGACAGCAGTCATTTGTGATTTGCTGTAAGGCAATTCGATCAGAGGTGGACAAACCATGCTTATCTCGGGTGGATTGCACAATGTGGAATTTGTTGGCCGTGCTTGATTGACATATGGGGTGGACACAATAATATGAACACCTTTGTGAAGCTCAGGAAGTATCAGAGAAAGCAGCTGTGGTGATTTTGGTTTGATTTGTTAGTTGGAGAGAGACGTTCCTTTACATTGCGCGGGCGTGCCACCCCTTATCAATACATGAGGCCTAGCCTGGACTTTGTGTTTCTTTGAAAATATTAACTAGTAGATGCTTTCTATTTCTTAACTGGTCCTGGTATAATATGCACTTTAAATTATGTAGGCCTATAAACAGCTCACTTTGAAGGCTGACATGTTAGGGTCAGTTAATTATTAAACCCGTAATAAGTTATTAACCTATAGCAGCAGAGACAAGATGACTTTGGGAGCTTTTAAATGCCTTTAGGTTGATATGGTCCTTAACAGTTGCTTATTTACACATTCAGAAGTTATGAAGCAACATCAGCATTCATCTGGAGGTGTATTTGTGGCCACCTGATGAATTGAAGTCCAAAGTTTACTCTTCTCTTAGCTCTGTTTTTAGTCTTCCTGTGGGGAAGATCTGGCTCTTTAGCTGTTCACAATGTTCACCAGCTAGTCGCTCACTCTCTGTTAGCCATTGGGTGCTGAGCAGGTAGGAGTTTTTTCTCTGCATACACCTGCCGCTATATGAGAGTGGTGAGAATGAACCACAGTGTACAGTGAAGTTGGGTCGGCTGTACAGCTGAGGGGAGCTGCAGATACAGGTGATTATTTTCCTTAGATTCGTCACCACGAAGTGAAACTACCCTGTGTCTGTGTGATCCCCCCGGTCAACTCGCTCCACGCAGGTATGCGGGTGTTGGTTTGAGGAGTATCTGTTCTGGGTGTGTATGTGAGACACACCCACTGCAAGCATGAGACGGAGCAGCATGCTGAACCGAGTTCTTCTCACTGAGGCATGAAGAAGTAACATTGTGCCTTCAACTCCCATCAGCAGCTTCATTGTGCATAGTGCATATTTGTGTTTTGCTCCAGGACAAATAAAATATTATGCATGCATTGGGACTTTGTTTTAAGCCCTTTTTTTAATTTTAGCAGCAGGGGAAGTTTGCATTCTTCACACTAGACCTTGACTCCTCCTATGCTGTTCCTGTGGGTGTATGCCCCGATAACTTCTGATACTCTAAAGGAATATGATCACTCTCTTTTCAGGCGTACCGTTCCTTTTGCCAAAACTCTAATGTGAATGTGAAATGAAAAACAACCTTTTCCTTCTGTATTATTAAGATTAACACTGGTATAGCGTGTCATCTTTCCAGTGTGACCAACCTTACTATTCTGAAGCTCGATGGTGAAATATATACGTTTATATTTTAAATTGAGTTCATGCTCTTCCTTTTTCTGTTTTTATTTGTACTTCTCTGATTGACCTTTGAGATTCTGTAGCTTATAATGCGACAAACGTGTAAGTTAGACACTTGCTCGTCTAAATGAACAATAAGAACAAGTGCTAATGATGACCCTGGTATCCAGACTAGTTCTGCTACATTCCCCTACGACCACACGTGGAAACAGTGGGTGCTATATAATGTCCTGCCACGTAGTGCAGCTGATA